GAGGCAGGTATAGGGATGGAGGAGGCAGGTATAGGGATGGAGGAGGCAGGTATAGGGATGGAGGAGGCAGGTATAGGGATGGAGGAGGCAGGTATAGGGATGGAGGAGGCAGGGATAGGGATGGAGGAGGCAGGTATATGGATGGAGGAGGCAGGTATAGGGATGGAGGAGGCAGGTATAGGGACGGAGGAGGCAGGTATAGGGACGGAGGAGGCAGGTATAGGGTCATAGGTGGTAGATTGAGACACAGAGGAGGTGGGAATGAGGGATGAGAACAGTAGGAACAAAGAGGGAGAATAACATGAGAATTGGATCATAATATGCAGATGAGGGTAAACATGAAAAAGGATAAAAGAAGTAAGAATAACGGATAATAAATTAAGTCTGGGTCTAAGTATTAATGACATGGAGATCAGGGATGAAGGATAACAGTAGGGATAAGAGGTTACATGAGGTGATTATCACTGATTTCTAGATAAGAATTCCTGAAGAAAAGATAAAGTATCAACTCTATTGGTTATTGTTTATAGTTGAAATGTTGTAACAATAAATCGATTAAATTTGCAGATAAAATAAGAGTTCAAATTCTTAAAAGCTCACGTCTGGAAAATGGAAATCCTTGTGTAAAGTTTGTTATTGACTTCTTCTTTCCCTAAAGTGAATAAAATCAACTGATGATGCAAATAAACACTTGAATATAATTACACAGGAGCACAAAATTCTCTTCAATGCTCTCTTGATTTTAACTAGGCCTCCCCCGACCACCACCACCACCATACAAACGGCTGGCCAGCGCAGACGCCTCTACAGCGCCGTCCCAGGACGAGTCTTTGTAGCGACTCGGTCGCACTCTGCTCAGGGGGAGCGGGAAATAAGCTTCAGCAAAGGAGACAGGGTCAAAGGTGAAGATCTAACCTTTTCTCCACATATGCCCTCATAAGTAGGTTTGATGTGTTTTGGAGTTTGTGGTTTTGCTTCCAGTCTGTTGTGATCACACTTTCACAGAAATATTTTGGGATGAAAAAAGGAGAGATGAAAAATAGGGCCGTGAGCTTTACACCACCTGAACTTTTTTACACTTTATGTCACAATCATGGACATAATTATAATGTTTTGGGAATTCAATTTCAAAAACCTGTTTAATGAACTGTAAAGGTCAACCAAATTCCTTCAGAGGTTACCGATTTAATACATGGAATCCATCTCTGTGTAATTTCTCAATATAAATCTGCTGTTCTGTGAAGGATTCAGATGTTTCCTTGCAGAACATTATTAAGAGCAACGAACAAGGGCAGAGTCTGTTGACTTTACACATCCTACTGACCCATCCATCTAATTAGGAATGCTTGGAAAAAAGCAAACATTGAAGCAAATGTTAATCATATGTATCAATGCTAAGCAGAAACTATCTAACTTGAGAGGGATGCATTTGTCACTAAATGAGTCATGGGACCCACAGCGCCGCTTTATGGCAGTGTGAGCTCCTCTGAAAGACAAGATCTAACAATATTGATATGAAACATATTTGATCAGTCATATTTCTGGTTCTCTGATGTAGGATTTACTCCAGAGAGCTAAATGTGGCCTTGAATTTACTATGAATGATTGAAACCTCCAGGACTTCTCAGTCAGCTGGTTCAAATCAGTTTGCTCAAATTCCAGAGCATGGGGTGGGTTCTGTTCAATATTACGACAGTGCAGTGTCACCTGTCTGTTTCAGGTCAGGCGTCACTTGGTGGCTAAAAGTTATTCATAGTTGCTTTAAAGCTTGACCAAAACCATATAAACGTTTTGGTCTACAGTACATGCAAAATTCTAATACTCAACCCACCCCTAAACACCACTTCCCCATGAGGAAGCATGGTGGTGGCAGCTACTGTACATGCCGAAGGAATGCAGTTTCAAAAGTGGTGAAATAAAGCCAGCCAAAAGTCAAGTGAAGATTGATGGAGGGGAAAATGCGTGATTAGAACGGTTTTATTGACATGAAAGACACAATGCTCGGGCCGATTTTGAAAAGAAACTCCGAGAACAAATGTCGGTTTTCCGATGTCCAAAGGAAAACTCATGTTTTCGTTTTACCACTTAGTAGGAAGGGGTTTCTACTCAGTATTAACTCAGGGATGTGCAATACAGATGCATGCCAGTTTTTAGAAAAAAAATTCTTTAAAAAAAATTTAGATCTTTAAATGTTTTTTCTCTATTTGCAATGATGCAACATTTTAAAATGTATATAAACACAGATGAGTTTGTGATTGCAATTTTGCCAAATGCGTAACAGTTTGATGGGTATGAATGATTTTTCAGGGATTAAAGAAGAAAAAAAAGATCAGTAAAAGGGAAAACTGTGGGAAATTAAGGGTTTAAAAGAGCACACTAACAAAAACATTTTACCCAAATTTTAAGATTGTCATTTTATTATATAACA